CCGCTCAGTACTTTGCCTCTGGTCACTGCGGCTGTGGAACGCTTGCAATGTAGCAAGTGTGACCAAGAAACTAAATCTATTTTTAAACATTGATTGAATTTAATTTTTAAAATTGAATCTTTAAGATTTTTAATTAATTTAAATAAATTTAAATTCAGGTAGCCATATGTGGCTAGTGGTTACTGAATCCTAGACACAGGTCTAAAGCCCCCAGGGGCAGGGAGAGGGGCTGGGTTCAGTGAGCAGCCCCCCGGGTGTGGAGGCAGCAGAGGGTCTGAAGGCTCCAGGCAGAAGGTGTGAGGCCGAGGACAGGGTCTTGTCCAATCAGAAGGTCTTACCCTGGTGCCCATGGAAGGATTTCAGAGGGGTGTGGAAGACCGAAAAGGTCTACTAGAATTGTATATGTACATTCATGCATTTGTCTGGGGAGAAAGCCTTGCTTTCATTAGAAGCATAAAAGTATCCTTGATCCCCAAAGTAAAATAAGATAAAATAACCCATTGATCTGTCAGATGAAACTTAACTTCTTCAGGAAAACCTGTCCTGATCCAAAAGGATAAGGTTTCCCTACAATATGTCTGTGGTACCTTTCTTTGTAGTATTTGGAAGAGCATAAAAGAATATGTATATGTATATGTATATGTATACGTACACACACACACGCGCGCACACACACATAATCTGTGTTCCCTCACTAAGCTAAAAGACCCATAAAAGCAGTAACCTGGCCTGCTTTTGCTCATCACTAAATCTCCAAGGCCTGGGACATAGAATGCAGGCCCTTAAGAGCAGATAGACTGAGGGGTAGATGAATGCATTGACAGACAGAAGGAAGCAGGCAAGCAGGCATAAATGAATGAATAATCGAAGAAATAAATCAGGGACACACTTTACCCTGATGACTCTAATGCTCAAAAACAACCAAATTCCCCCCAAACCGGATGGAGGCACGTGGCTACCTCACTCTAGGCTGCTGCCACCAGTCAAAGCCACACGGCATCTTCTCTGCTCCCCCCACCGAGAAGAACGCTCTTCCTTCCTCTTCATCCCACAGCACGTTCCTTCCCTCTCATTCCCGTATTTATTTCACGTACAGTGGACTTGGTTGTGTAAAGTCTGCTTTCCCCACAAGACGTGGACTCCGAGAGGAAGAGACCTTGTCCCTCTCCATGGACTGTTCCCCGGCCTGCACCACTTCTGCCCTGCAAAGTGTGAGCGTGCTGGAGGCCTCAGCACGGGCCAGTCCTCTCTTACACTGGGCCGGCCCGGCTCACCTTCACACGTCCAGCCTCACCACTCACAGCCGCAGCCAGGCTGCCAGAGTTAGCAAGCGGGAACACAGGACACACAATATACTGTGCATTTTGGGTAAATAAGAAAGAACTTTGTTAGTGGCAGTATGTCCCCTGCAATACTGGGGGCATACTTACACTAAAAAAAAAAAAAGTGATTCATTGTTTATCTAAAATTCAAAACTAATTGAACATCTCATATGTATCTGGTGACCCTAATCACCAGATAAAAAAGAGCGTGAGCAGTGGGGGTAGCCGGGGAATACCAGGGTAGATGGGTCTTCCCTGCACCGCCTGAAGGCTCCAGCTAAGTATGGAATGGGCAGGTAACGGGGTATCTGTGGCCTCTCACCCCCGCACCACAAACGGCTCTCCGATGCTCCTCCAGAGTTCAAAGCACCCTACCAAGGACCCACGGATGTCACGGGTCACATGGAAGAGACACTGGGTCTCCTGGAGGCACGTCCTCCCACTCTTGCCTCCCTGCTGCCTGCCGCCCCAGCAGCACTGGCTGCTGTGGTGTGTGCCTGAGGTTTTTCATTCCCTGGGATCTCCCGAGAGCACCACATGCAGAGCAGGTAAGTCCTGGCAGAAGCTTCAAAAATGACAACCCAGAGTGATGCTCAGCCTCAAATCTTAGTTTGCACATAGGCTGGGAGGGGGTCAGGGCCACCTGGAATCACTTTGCACAAGATTCCAGGTTACATTAGAGAGCTGGGAGCCCAGGGCCTCCCTGTGGCACCCTGACCTCCACCAGGAGCAAAAGATACTATTTGAAGAGGGAGAAATTAAGAGAGGCAAGTGTGGGGAGACCCATGCTGGGGACAGGGAGGGGAGCTAGGGCTCCATCAAAGGGGCATCCAGGTCCACTGCAATGATCTGGATACTGTGTATAAACCCCCAAATGGTGTCCAAGTGGTACTGCATGTGACTGTGTGAATAACGAGCTGAACTGGTTCAGCTCAACGGCTCTTCACTGGGGGTTCACAGGGAGGTCTGTGAATACCTGACCCTATAAGTAAAATTGTACACACCTGCTCTTTTTCTGGGGAGAGCCACCAGGGTCACAAAGGGATCGATGGTCCCCAGAAGGCCCAGAACCGTGAGTTGGTAAAGCCAGCTTAGCAGCTTCCTCTAGGCTGACTTAGTCAGCCCAGGACTTGCAGGCTTCCAAAGTAAGTCTCTGCCAAAAATGGGAGTGGCAAAATGATTCTGAGAACAGCCACCTGTGGGCCACACCCCCATTCCCAACACACTCCCCACCGGCGCCCCTCCATGGCAGGCTCCAGAGAGAGCAGCCGGTGGCGTACAGGACCATGACCACTCTGGCCCAGAGCAGCATCTCACACAGAGTGAAGGTGAGTGAGGAAAACAAGAAAGCAACGCCACACAGGGAGGCACAGAGCCCCAGACCCATTCAGCAGCAGCCCAGCACCCCACCCCCTACTAATACCACCAGACAAGCTAGCAGGTAACTCACTATGGAAACCATGAGTCAGGAAAAAGGCGGATTCGCTCATTGAATCCTCACAACAACCCTCCTGGGTGGGTACTGTTTGAATCTTCATCTACACACGAGAAAGCAGAGCCTAGAGAAGTTTTGGAACCTGTCTGGAGTCACACGGTGACAGAACCAATGACCAGTCCCAGGCAACGTACCCCCAGTACCTAAGCTCTAAGCCACCCTCTCAGAAAACTGAGCTCCGAGGGCCACCAGTGACCAAGGACAGAGTCAGCAATGAATGCCCCGTGTCCTTCTTCTACGGGAGCTGCCATATGCAACTCAGTGACCCTGGCCAATAAGAAAGCTTTCCAAAATGCACACCACGAAGTCATCCCACCATTGAGTTTTGTAAAATGGGCTCACAAAGACGCTACACTTGGCTCCAAGTTAAATTCTGAAAACCCATCCCAGGCCCTTTCCCAACTGCATCGATGGGGTGGTGATGACGCACACGTACAGGCCTGGCCCCGCTCACGGCTAGAACCAGCCTATCACACAGGCCACTCCCCGCAGTGTGTCCCCTCCCGACACACAGGAAACAAGCCTTCCAGGCGCGGGAGAAGTGGGGGCAGCAGCATTCTTTTCTTGTGAGATTCTGTAACTAGGAAGGGGGCGGGGGACAGAACAGAAAGGGGGCTAGAAAAGTTCTGATGTGAGAGTTTCTGCTGACTCTCAGACCCCATCTGGCTCATCAATGAGTCCTTTCAGGGTTCCCTCTCCCCAACTAAGTTATCATTTCCTGTCCAGCACACTACACCCATTGATGGGGTGTCAGCAAATCCCACCAGTTTATGCCGGAAGGACCCAAGGAGGTTGGACAGGAATGGAGGGGGAAGAGGAAGAAGACAGGAGGGTAAGGGGTGGCTTTCAATCCACACTCAATGGGATATTCAACCCCACATTGTTGGATTAAGAGAGGATTTGTAACACAGGAAGCTAGCTCAGCTCACAGGTAACGTGATAAGGACAATGGGATAAAGTCAGGTACTTGGGGGCACAGACTCAGGCCTGGCCTCTCCGAGATCACTCACTACCAGAGGCCTACAAAGGAAGGAATGGGCCTTGGCTGTGAGGGCCAAGGGTGGGCGTCTCTTCTTGGTGTTTTTGTTGGCCTAAACTAGGCTCAGAGCCCCGAGGAAGAATCTAGAATCTCTCAGCTTTCCCATACCAGGAAGGGTGGCAGCCTTGTCTGGTGCCTGTCCCATACATAGAGGTGGGCCCCCTAGTGGCCATGCCTGAGCTACAAGACTCTACCCTAGCCACACTGATTGGTCCAGAGAGGGCACCTGACCACCCCGGGTCAATCAGAGTCTTCCCTGGGATTTTTGAATTTGGAAGTGGCAGACAGGCAGCCTGTCCACTGTTGGGAACCACAGATATGAAATTCAGGAGCTGTTGCTAGCCAAGTTCCTCAGGATACAGTGCCCAGAGAGAAGCAGAGATAAGACAGAGGGAAAGTAACCATGGTTTCAGGTGTTCCTGGAGCCACCATCTGACACTCCCCTTCACCAGCTGGTCGACTGCATGAGCTTCTCTGATAGATCCTTCCAACCAAGTCTCCTTTTTGTCTCAGCTAGTATGAGTGGAAAACTACCACTGGTAACCCAAAGAGGCCTAACCAGACCAGCTGGCATCAAGGGAGGTGTTTGCAACAGAGCTGTGGATTCATAACACAGTCCCCACTCGAACTCGCCCGTGTGTATTAGAGAGACACATACTGTCCACATGTGCAAACGGGGCAGCAAGAGCCTTATTTGGTGGGACAGACACAGTGGTATGCCCATTTGTGTCTGTAGTTCAAGAGACTGCTTATTTTCTGTTAGTCTTTTCTGTGTGTTTGCTTTTCTTTGCCTGCAACGATGTTTATAGACATGTCTGCTCATGCACACAGCACCCGCAGCCATCTTCCTGCCTCTCTGCCCTGTTTTCCTACCAGCCAGGCAAAGAGGGTGACAAAGCAAAACTATTAAGACCATGTGAAGAAGCCAAAAAGCCCCAAGTGTTTGTCTGCAGTGTCCTAAACTGAGCCCAGCCCAGCCTGCCCATCCAAGTTCCCTCATCTGTCCCTCTGCTCTGACCTAGACTCTGGCCCTGAGAGCTCTGTGGGAGTTCTCCGAATGAGTGAGAGCCCAAGAGAGGCCAGCCCACCAGAGACTAGGGCCCCAGACGGGAACTGGGCACCACTTGAGGTCAGACTGACTCACCTGCAGGTCAAAGAACTTGCTGTACCTTCGGTAGATGGTCTGGGACGTGGAGTCGGACCAGGTCACGTTGATGATGTACACCTGTGGGATAAGAGTAAGCACAGGTGAGTGGATGACCAGGGCTGGGCTTTGAGCAGTACCCGTCACCATTTAACGTGGTTGGACCATTCTTTTCCTCGTCTCTGCCCCCAGGGCCTAGCACAGTGTCAGATACACGTGAATGCTACATATATATGCCTAAATACACGGATACACATGCATATCTAAAAGGGTATTCAATACAATGCTAAGGATAATTATTTCAGGAGGACAGGATTATAAGTGGTTTTAATTTCCTTCTTTTAGTGTATATGTACTTTATACAATGAACATGAAATTGGGGTTGTTAAGAAATTTAAGTAGCTAATTTCCACTGGTTCTCAAGCTTCAAGGTGAATGAGATTTCTGCAAGGGGCCTTTCACAATTGCAAGTGTTGGGGCTCCGCCCTCTGAAATTCTGCATAAGTAAACTTGGGTTTTGGGGACTCAGACATCTACATTTTATTTTTTTAATTTTATTTTTATATAGTAGTTTTAGGTTCACAACAAAATTGGGTAGAAAATACAGAGTTTCCATATGCCCCCTCCCCTGACCCCACATGCACAGCCTCTCCCATTATCAACACCCCCACCCCAGGGGCACAGATGTTGCAGCGGCGCATCTACAGTTTTAACGAGCCATGCCATGTAATTCTGCCACAGCTGACTCTCAGACCTTGCTCGGAACACCACTCGGGAGACCGTGGCATTTCAGAAAGGTGTGATTCATCTCCATCCCTAAGTCTCAGCCCAGCGCCTGGCACAGAGCAGGTGCTCAGAAAACGTTTTACAATAAAAAGGAGATCAAGCATGCAACAGAAATTTTAAATTGTTAGAGGTTGTTCAGGTTCCTTTATGGGTGGCAGTCATGCACTGCCCCAGGCATCAGAAAGAGGACACTGAAGTGGCCAAAAAGGAAACAACCCGGCTGACCGAGCAGTGACGGGGCTGCCAAAGGAACAGCTATAATGCCTTTGGTGCCTATTTTAGACTTGTCACAGTTCCACTCTGAATATTCGACTGCAGACTTAGAGAAAGCTGAGAGCTGGGGTTTTGAACCAGCTCTGAAACCATGGTTCAAAGGTCCTGGAATTTCTGAAGCCAATTTGGCCACGAGAACAACCCTAAGACAGTTCCCCATCAGAAAATAGAAGGGACACAATGCCAAGGGCAGTGCCTGTTTGACAAATAGACTTCACCCAGATGCCGAGGGTCCGAGGACAGAAATACTTGTTAGTCTTTGTTGATACCTTTTCAGGATGATAGAGACCTATCCTACTAGAAGGGAGAAATACTCAGAGGTCATGAAAGCCCTACTGAGGGAAACAATTCCTCACTTTGGCCTACCCGGCAGCAGCCAGAGCAATCATGGGCCTGCTTTTGTTTCAGAAATCACATGGAAGCTTAGTCAATTTTTAGGTATCAAGTGGAGACTCCACACGGCATGGAGACCTCAGGCTTCTGGGCAGGTAGAGAAGGTGAATTGCACCTTGAAGGAAAATGTAGCCAAACTGTGTTAAGAAACACATCTTCCATTGGGATCAAGTTTTGTCTGTTGCCCTGCTCAGGAGAAGGGTGGTTTCTCAAAGGGGGATTCAATTGAATCCCTACAAAATTGTGTACGGGTGACCATTTCGGGCTGTGATGGGGAGAGGGAGATACGTATGTTGATGAAGAAGGGAAGGTAAAGAACTACGTACAACATTTAAGTCAGACCTTAGCCATGATTAATGACTTAGCTGTATTCGAGATATTAGAGATCTCTCCCCCACAGATTCGCTACATTCCTTAGAGCCTGGAGATGAGGCGCTACTCAAGACTTGGGAGACAGGACTCCCAGAAAGCCAGCTGGAAGACAATGGACTGGAACCTGTGTCCAGCAAACTTTCCTTTCATGTCTTGTAGGTGTCGGTACTCCCCGGAAAGATACCGGGGAACCTGTAGTAACTCTAGAGACAGGGAAATGTCTTCTTTAAAAACTCTAATGGAGCCCCGGCTGAAAACATGGAACCTTTGTCAACTGTACTAACAACTGTTTTAGATGAATTGCAACACCATCACTAATGTGTCTGACGTCTTTAGTCACATCCAAGTGCCGGCAGGATGGTTTCTAGTACATGGAAGGACTGTGTATTCAACAGCAAAATGATTTTTCCATATTCTCATCTGCATTTATGTTGTGTTGGTTCATATTTCTTTAATGAAACTAATCCTGTAGAAACCAGGTGATTAAAATCTAACAGGGGGGAATAATGAGGGAACTCACAGAGTCACAGAGCTTCAGTGATAGTTGAGAGGCTTACGTGGCTACAGCCTGTGGGAAGCCGGGATTCCAGGAACTGCAATGCATGACCACACAGCTCCAGGAAGCTGATGAGCCACCCAACCTTGTGGCCCGCAGGGGCCTGCAAGCCACTGAGACGGTGTCTGAGCCCCTGTGTTCCAGGAAGGCAAAGCTGGTGACACCGGTAAAGAACGGGTGATCGACCGATGAAGAAGTACTAGGAAAACTGCCACAGGACTGCAATTCTTATCCAATTAACCTTTTTCCCAAACCCTGACCTACCCTTCCTTCCCCTTACAAAAAGGTCAGCTTGAGATGAGATGTTAAGATGGTTTTTGAGGGCACATAACCTGCCATCTTCTCAGATTGTTAGCATCTGAACAGAGTGCCTGTAAGGATTTAAAAAATCACTTTGCTCTGTTGAACAACCAGACTGACCCTGGGGTGACAGCAGATTTGCAGGAGAGACGGTGCATGGGAAATTGGTAAACTTTTTGGAAATGAAGGCATTTCAGGACTCCATTTCCAGCATCACCTCAGTTCCCAAGCTCAATCAGGCTCTCCAAGGCTGCCACCTCTGGAAGGCTCTGGAAGGCTCCCTTGCCCGGGAGGTGGGCGGGACTGCTGGCTGCAGAAGGAGAGAGTCCTCTGCCTACACAAGCTGGCCTACTGCTCCCACCACCTTTGTCCCTTTTACCTGAACCCACACCAAAGGCACACCTTCCTGGGAGAGGCCTTAGTTAGAGGAAGGGGTCCCCTCACCTCAGAGCTGTTCTGCTGAAGGAGAATCACCTGGAAGCTTAATAAAAATTCATACTCCCCAGTGTCTGTCTGGTCATTCCGATTCAGTGGTCTGGGGGACGCCACCAATGAGAGGAACCAAGCAGGCGGAGAAGCTGGGACCTTGGCCACTGTGAGAAGGAAGGAACGTTAGCAAACAGGGGCAGCCTTTAGACACCTCGGCATCAGGGGAGCTGACTTTGCCATGAAGCAGGGCTGCCTCAGTCTGCCTGGACTGCTATCACAAAACACCATCTGCCAGGTGACCTACACTATAACCATTTATTCTCATAGTCATGGAGGCTGGAAGTCCAACATCAAGGCCCCCGGGGAGGACCCATTTCCTGGCTTGCAGATGGCCGCCTTCTTGCTGTGCCCTCCCAGGGTAGAGAGAGGGGGCTGCGGCCTCTTCCTCTTCTTATATGGGCACTAATGCCAGCATTGGGGCTCTGCCCTCACGCTCCCCTCTAAACCTAATCACCCCCCACAGGCCCCAGCTCGGCAACATCACACTGTGGATTAGCGTTTTAACCAATGAATCTGGGGAGGGAGTCTGTGGTAACTCAAAACATTCAGTCTGTAGCAAGGGGTCTGCACACAGGAATGCGAGGCTTTCAGTGAACAGCCAAGGAAGGGAGCTCAGAGTCCAGTCCCTTCTTGCCCCTGATCCCTTAGTCTCAGAGTCAGCCTCATGCTGGATGGAGTGTTTGTTCTCAAATGCACCCAAGCAGAGGGCCACCAAGCAAAGCAAATAGAGAGCCAAGGGATGCCAGCCTAAGACGGGGTATTTATGGCCTGTTTTATAGGATCCTAATAAGAAAGAACATAAAATAAAATAAAAGGCCATCCCTTTGCTTACGAGCCCAAAATAAGCTATTGACTATTCTAATACATAGATGGAGATATGCTGTGCTTTATATCCTGGGAACACATATCTCATACAATAAATTGTTGAAACCATTCAGGTACTGGGTACCACATGCCGGCACAGTGCAAAACATTCATACGCATTAGCTCCTTTAATCCTCAGCTCAGTGAGGTAGCTGCTGTACCACTGTTATCCCCATTTTGTGCAGGAGGAAGCCAAGGTTCAGAGAAGCTAAGTAACTTGCTCACGGTCACACAGGTAGCAAAATATAGAGGAAAGGACTTGAACCCATGTTTAGCTGAGTCCAATGCCCATGTCTAAACAGTTATCTCCCTATGTATAGATTTAGAAATGTGGATACTTAAATCAAACCAGTTGATCAGAAATAAATGACATCTTTTTAAATAAAGCTTTAGATGGTGTGAAGAATCTGTACACCCCTTCCTTAGGGGGTGAGCCTAGAGGGACATGGGGGGGTTAGGGAACTCTGAGAGCCTGACACCAAGAAGAGACAGAACCTGGGGCCCAGACATAAGTCAACGGTTAGGAATGCTACAAAACCAGACCAATGCAGAGGAAACCCTCATATACAACCAGCTAACTAAGCAGGATGCTGTGGAATTTTCACAGGAATTATAATCCACCCCATCTCCCTGCCGACTCCCAGATCCTGCCAGCTGCATCTCCCCTCCCACCTGCATCTGCCCTTCCTGCAGGTCCCAGGCAGGGAGCAGATGCTGCGCACACCCAGTGCTGCCTTCCTGACCTCTGCCCGGGTGGATGCACCTTTAGCAGGTCCCAAGTGGCCGTGCCCTCCCAGGAGAGAGCCTGCACTCACCTGCAGGCCATTGGATGGCAGCCTGTCTCCCTGGCCAACCAGGCAGAGCTCAGAGGAAGGGCTTCACGGGGACTTAACATGACCCGTGCTCCATCCTCTCTAGTAAGTAGGGCTTCCCTTCAGCTCCCAGAGAGAATTAATCCCAGGCTCACAGCCGCTGGGAGGCCTCTCCTTTTGCAGAGGAGGAACCTAGGACCTGGGAAGTGGATCTGTCAAGGAAGAGGCAGATTCCA